TGTTTTTTGTGTTCTTCAAGGCTCTCATTTCCATAAGTGGTGGCAGCTTGGTGGTGTTTGCCTTCGCTTATCGTTCATGGCTTGGTATGTGTGAGTAATCTGGTCTTGTTTATTCTATAGGTATATCTTGATATGCACATTGTGAACTGGGGTATGAGAGCTAGTCACCTTGATATATGGAGGTCCCTGAGTTAGTGCTGCCACTGGACTTTGGCCATTGAATGTGTGCTGTAAAGATGGATATCTCAGTTAGACCCGGAGACCCTTAGAAGTAATTAATGCTTAATACAAACTTCCTTAAACCTTAAGATGCTTGCTTCTAGGAAAGTTGCTTTGTATACAGATTCCTGCCTAGTGAGACCAATGACTATAAATAGCTTGTCTTATTGATGGGTGGTTCAGAATAGTTGCAGATCAGCTATTGTGGCATTTCATTGGTACTGACTGTATGAAAGACTTAACATTTCCTGAAATATGTATACCTCTGCTGAAGGCAATGATCAAGAACACTGCTACTGAGTAAAGAAGGTATTTTTAACCCACTTCCAAGTGGAATTTCAGGCCTAGAGGCAGAAGTGAGGATCCACAAAGGGCTGCTGGAGTATGGATCTGTAAACTGCTCCTACACCAGGGGTCAGCAACCTTTTTCATCCATGGGCCAGTCTACCGTCCCTCAGACCATGTGGTGGGCTGGATTATATTTTGGAAAGGAAAAAAAAAGAACGAATTCCTATGCCCCACAAATAACCCAGAGATGTATTTTAAATAAAAGCACACATTCTCCTCATGTAAAAACACCAGGCGGGTCCCACAAATAACCCGGAGATGCATTTTAAATAAATTTTTCGCTTCCTAAGACACACTTTTCCCCTTCCTTCCCTCCTCTGAGGCTCGCTTTAAAGCAGCAAAGTGGACAAGAGCTGCCCGCTTTGCTGCTTTAAATAGTTTAGTACAACATTTGATTCAGAATATTTTTTTTTCGTGTTTTCCTCCTCTAAAAACTAGGTGTGTCTTATGATCAGGTGCATCTTATGGAGCAAAAAATATGATAAAAGGACACATTCTATTCATGTAAAAACATGCTGATTCCCAGACCATCCGCGGTCCAGATTGAGAAGGCGATTGGGCCGCATCCGGCCCCCGGGCCTTAGGTTGCCTACCCCTGCCCTACACCATGTGTGTGTGTGGAGAGAGAGAGAGAGAGAGAGAGAGCACACACCAGCCTCAAGAGAGACTCTCCTGACACCTTTTTTAAGGTAATTTCAGTGTCAGATGAAGACTCCCCCCCCCCCCAAGGCTTATTTAAAAAATCTGATTGCTATCCCACTGATTGTCAATTTGGATTTAGATGTCCCTGTTCTGCAAATGTTTCTGCAGCAATTATTTTTATTATATTTTTAATATTGTTTGTTATATTTTTATATCTTTGTGAGCCGTCTAGAGAACTATGCTATTGGGCAGAAATGTAGATTAAGTGTATTAATCACATATAGGGAAGGAGTTTGTCTCCTAAGAGATGGAAGCACAACTGTGCTCAGTATAGCCTCTGGATAGTGTTCAAGGGCAGCCCAGTGACACAATAATGAAGTATTCCCAATATGCTCAAGAAAAGAAGGTTCTTTTTTTTAATGAAGTAATTTATCTTGATGATGACTTAAAGGTGAAACCCATCCTTTCCCTCCAGCTTTTGACAAGTAGCAACATTTTTCTTAAGCTCATAACACCTTTTTTAAAAGGGAGATCTTAGTTCCTCATTTATTAGAAAACTATGCAGAGATCATGGAAAGCCCCTCAGTAAATCTATGCCACAGTACGGATTTGAACGCAGGTTTTCCCGCTGAAACTGGTTTTAATAAAATTTGCTGAAGGGCTTTGAAGATTGACTATCACTGCAGAGAAAGCTGCTGTTGCTCTATTTACTTGTATTGACCACATTTAACCTTGCTGCTCTTTGTGAAATAAATTTGCTTATCTTTGAAGTCTGAAGTTCAACCTCATTATTTTAAGATACAATTTTTGAGGTGGTAATGGAAATTCTATCCTTCAGTTCTGCAGTTGTGGGAGACCACTCAATATTTCAGTGATTCCTAATGTATGAGACTGTCTTTCCTAATTGTTGGCCCCTGTGTTGTCTCAAGAGACAATGGAGTGTGACTCTGGGGGTGAAATCAAACCGCTGCATTAGCAGCACCAAAGTGACCTCCCCAAGGTGCAAGCCTAGGCAGTGTATATGGAGGTCCTGGGCTGTCCAGACAACAAGACCCCCCTCTTTTGGCCTTGCTGATGTGGTCCAAAGGAAAGCAGAGCAATATGTTTGGCACCAGCTTGGCTGCAGGAGTTGCTGGAAGGAGGCATATAAGCTGCCATCCAACCATCTTAGGGACTCCACTCCAGATTTGTGTAGGATTTGCTTCTTAGCCCTTTCTTCCCCCATAGATACCCTGCAAGGTAGTGGAGGGTTAGGATCAGAGTTTTCTTTCTCCTAGATGGGCTACTTTCCCAGGTTGACAAGCACCAGCTGCCTCTCTTCCCTCTACAGCACATGCAGAAGCTGCCTTCTTGACCGTTGGACCCACTATTGATCTTGTCTGCTCAATCTGCCAGAGCATGTTTTCTCATGCTAATTTCACATACTAACTCACTGAGGGTTTGAGACCCATTGGCTACCTCACCTGGTTTAGCCGGCTAGTCGAAGCTGTTTCCGGGGTGTGGCCGCTGTCACATGCTGACAGCTTCTAGGAGCCACAGGTGAGAGCTAACTGCAGGGTGGGGACCAAAGGTGGGCAAACTACCCCAGAAGGAGCATGGTGTCCCCCCCACTATAGAGGTACTATCCCTCCCCTAACACCCCTAATGAGGCTTTGACATCTGACAGGGTCAGCTTCTCTTTGGCCTATTGAAACATTGGGCCAGGAGAAGTGTAATATCTGACTTCAGTCAAGGTTGCTTCAGATATCAGCAAAATGCAGAGTCTTCATTTCCATTGTGAATGCTCAAACGGCATTAACATGACTGAAAAGGTGTGGTAAATGTGTCCCAAAGAGCAGCAATTAGCACAGGCTCCTAGGGCATGTTTTGAGACACATGAATGCCCTTCAGACATTAACCAAAATATAGTAAAGTTAGCTACTGTAGAAATGTGGGATTCATCATTGCTTTTGTGTGCAAACCAGCCTTTTGCCAGGTAACACAGGAAGTTGTGAGCCATTTTACAGGACCTATGGCAAGCCAAATATTTCTAGATACAAATTGTCCCCCGATCCTAGGCACATTCACTTGGAAGTTCATCCCACTTGCAGTATACTTCCAACTGAGTCTAGGATGATTCAGTATTAAACATTGCATGTAGAAGAAGCTCACTATCACAAAAATTGAAAACAAATATTTTTTCCCCTTAAAAAAATTAAATGACTAATGGAATTGGTCATTTTGGAATTCATCTGTTGCATTTAACCTGTATCTTAACAGTGAAAACCTAGTGCTTTAAATAGACCTCAGTGTTCTCTGAGAATGGGCCACCAGACAACTGTCTACTGATCTATCATCAATCTATTTCATCTATCATCCCTTTTGGCTGAGGAAATCCATTCTCCCAAACTCTTCTTTCTTTGCTGACTCAATGTTGCCACCTTTGCACCTTTGTACTTAGTGTCTGGGTGATTTCTTGTACAGTGGTACCTCGGGTTACATACGCTTCAGGTTACAGACTCCGCTAACCCAGAAATAGTACCTTGGGTTAAGAACTTTGCTTCAGGATGAGAACAGAAATTGTGCTCCGGTGGTGCGGCGGCAGCAGAAGGCCCCATTAGCTAAAGTGGTGCTTCAGGTTAAGAACAGTTTCAGGTTAAGAACAGACCTCCGGAACGAATTAAGTACTTAACCCGAGGTACCACTGTACGTTTCAAAACAAACAACTTGAGCTTTAAATGAAGTGTCTTGATGAAGCTGAGTTCTTTAATTGACCATAATATAGATTCCAAGTCTTGTGAAGTGCAATGCAGCTGAATCTGTCTTGGGATCTGGAATAGTTGGGGTTTTAGCCATCTGTTAGGTTGGAAATCTCAACTGGAAGGAAAAGCAAGCTCAACAACTGCAGTAAGCGTTGAAGCCAGAGGAGTTGCATTCCCCCCTTCTCCCCCACCCCAATATTTCTCTTCCAAACTAACTTTCTGTCTTATGCCTAACTTGCCGCAATCCATGAAAGCAAATGCCATCTCCTTAGGAAGGACCACTTTAATTGAAAGTTTGTACACTGGCAGATGCATGCACAGGGCTTATATCAGTGTTTCATAATGGTGGGAATTAAATTATTGGCAGATCATGGACACATACAGTGCTTTAAGTCAGATACTAGAGGGAATTCTGTTTCTCACATACTATGTGTCTTACACAAAACATATGTTACGTTAAATAAGACAACACATACTGAATAAGAACGAAACTATCCCTTTGGTTAGCCTAATTATTTGTTTGCACATTTTGCAAGCTTTATGAGTCCCATAGGAGGCACACACAATTGATATACTGTATTAGCAAAGTCACTGTCACCCTCAGCTCACATTTCCTTTTCATGCGGAGCACAGTGCCCACGTCCATGCTGGTACAGAAGAAATTAAGCACACCTACACCCAATAAAACCCCAGCTTTCTTGTTTAATTAAGCCTTTATTTATTGTTCTGCAGAATCAAACCAACACAGAGCACCTTATAAGAGCCTTATTTTGGATCTTTGTCTACTGGTCTTCTAATCTGTCCTCAACGGGGCTGGGGAAGCTCAGGTTTCTTCTCCGAAGAGCAAAACAGTGGCAATTAGGTAGTGGGGCTGTTTTTGTAGAAGCTGTTCTGCCTTTGAAGTCTCTTTTGAGCTCTCTTGATCCTTCCTCCACTCCCTTACAGCATTTAAACTCCTGCTTTTTAAAGAGCAAGGGGTGTTGATTTATTTGGCTTCTGGGGTTGGAAGACTCCGCCCCCCTTCCTGAGATCCAGCCCTAAACAGAGTTCGCACTGTGGAATGACAGGCATTCCTCCTTGAAAGGAGCTGGCATGGGAGCTTATTTATGAGAATCGTGAAGTGTCCGGCCCAGGGGTACAGGAAATACAGGAGGGGTTTGTGCTTCGACCTACACCCCGGCCGTTTCCTGAGTTCTGGCTGTTGTTGTTCTGCTCCCCGGACTCCAGACAATTCCGTCGCTCTCACCCTGTGGAGTTGGCTTGTCATCTTCCGAAGGCTAATGTCTGCTTCCAGAATAGACTCTCTTTTCTTTCTCTTCCTTCCCTGAGCTACCTCGAAGACTCTCATAATGGGGCAGACACGCTACTCAAGACCGGTAAATCCAGCTCCCTCAGGTGAGTAATGGAGGGTCTAGCTGCGGCTGTAGGCAGGGTGAGAGTTGCAGGTGAAGCGTGCTCAAAAAAGAATGTGAGGATTGTGTAACCTGCACTCAGCTCAGAGGGGCTTCCAGTTCTCAACAAGTGACAAAAAGGGATTGTTTTCTTAATCCAGAAAAATAATATTATTTATTAAAGGCCTTTGGGTTGGAATACACTTTGCTGTTTAACTTGCTGCTCTGTGGGCGGCGGTGGGGGGTTGTAGTTTCTGTGCCACATTGTTAAGAACCAGTCCTTTTGATCTCGCTTTTCCCTGCCAAAATGGTCAGATGATGGGAAAAGCTGGCTTTAAAGAGTTCAGCAGCAAGCATAGCAACATGTTGTGTGTTGGGCTGGAGTTAAGCATTTCATACTAAGGATCAGGTGTTGAGTTATCTTTTTACCTCTCTGATATGACTGATCTTTAGTTGGATATTTTAATCTGTGTTGGCTGTAAATTGCATCTGTGATCTGATGTTCTGGAAGTACAAGAGTTTATTTGGGGGAGGGCTGCGGCGAAGTAAAACACATTACCATTTAGAGAAGCCCACCCTCCCCCTGCTGGTAAGACCATTTAAAGTCCAGAGTCTAAGATTACCTAACTTTGCCAAAGGGGCTGAGGAGGAGAATGCATTTGAATGAAAAACTTCCAGCCAGTAATGTCCAGTGGAAGCAGAGTGAGTTTTTGATTTGGGGATTATTTTTTTTTGTTTCAAGAGCTCCCATGTGGCTTATCACTATTCTTCCAGTGGGGCGGCATCAGTTGTCGTCTTTTCCCACTCCTACTTAGAGCTGGCAACTTCAGATCCCATTTGTAATGCTCCCCAGATGGCATGGTGGGCCTCACCCTGTCACCTGGCATTCCCTGCTATAAGGGCTGGATAAAGGGAGCTTGGCAGTTGAGGCTTTCTGTATATCTACCACAAACATTTACATAGTAACCCAAGCCAAATTACTAGTTTTTCCTTAAACTGACCCTGCAAATATTTTACAGATGGTTTTAGTTGAGGTGACGACTGATTCAGATGGTTTGTGGACTTTAAATATATTTTCTAGATTGACTTGTATGAGTTACGTGGCTTCTGTTGTAGGCTATCTTTCTGTGTGATTCATCTGATTTTTAAGATGCTTTTTTGTGGGGGCAGGCGGAAGGACGTACTGCATCAGGAGGAGCCACCATGGTGTGTTCCTGATGTTATTGGACTCCGGTCAGTTGTTAGGGGTGATGAGAGTTATAGCAACATCTGGGAAGCACCATATTGGCTATCTGTGCCATAGCCCCTAGCATGTGTATTTAGTATTAACCTATTTATTTGTAAGCACCTTATTTGTATTTTCATTGGCTGGTTAGTAGTAAAAGGCTAGTAGGTGTATTTTGCCTTTTGTGGACTGAAGCCCACTTCCTCAGAGGCAGCTGATAAAGTGGACTCTAGTTCCTGAAAGCTTAAGGTGCAATAAAACTGTTAATGCCACAATATTTGTGTGTGTGTCATGCTTTTGCTATAGCTAAGGGTACCTCCAGACTGCTACCAATGTATTGTGGGAGGTATTCAAGCGTATACCAGAACTTTAGGTTTGCATATAGTTAGTGGATTAAAGGACTTAACTGTGCCAAGCTTTCAGGTTTGATTCTCATATGGGATAGCTGCATATTCCTGCATTGCATGGGGTTGAACTAGCTGATCCTTAGGGTCCCTTCCAGCCCTACCATTCTATGACTACTTTGCTCTAGCACACCACTTTAAAAAAAGAATTGGGCTTTTTGCAATCTAGAAGGTGGCAGGGAAATGCATTGAAAAGTGTTTGGTAAACAAATAATGGGAAAACACCCCTGCAGGCAAATTGGGATGAATATTCATTGTCATATAACCACCCCACAAACAAATCAGAATGAATACTCCGTAAAGGCCAAATGTAATCTAACCCCCCACATAATGTTTGTAAATAAAAATAAATCAGAACAAATGCTTGATAAATATGTCACCTGGAGGAATTCTAACATGTCTACTGTGGCACGCAAATAGTTATATCTGCTTGTGCTTTCACAAGTAATTAGAAAACCTTTTTGTCCCTAATGCAGCCTGTGTATGCGGCCTTTGTGGATAGTATTGACTGAGTCTATAATGATGGAAACAACCATTTTTAAATCAGTTGTTAATACCATGGGAAAGTGTTATTTAATTTGCAAAGATCTGCCAGATACATACACTTTTATTATTTTCATTTTTAGCCATGGAAGCAACATAATAGGCCCTTTCCCTTTGATGGGAGTGGGGATGAACTTCCCCACACTCAGATCATGATAGTTGTATAAACATTTGAGCAAACCTAATGTGAGGCTCGCCAGAGCAGCAATGTCACGCTGGCCACGTGACCCAGAAGTGTCTCCGGACAGCGCTGGCCCCCGGCCTATAGAGTGAGATGGGCGCACAACCCTAGAGTCTGTCAAGACTGGCCCGTACGGGCAGGGGTACCTTTACCTTTACCTTTAATGTGAGGCAGTCCAGTTTTCAGGTAAGAGACTCATCCTTGACTTGTTCTTAGGTTTCCTCTGAAAAGAAGTGCCACCCAAACTGATTCTCATGTTTGAGCTTGAACTTCAGAGTATAATTAAGCAGCTGTGGAAACAAGTGATTTCCTTTTCCTACTAGGCTGCAGCGCTCACAAAGCATTATGAAGTAAGAATGTTAACTGCCCGTGATGTATTTGTCTGCCAGAATTTTGGTATAACTTCTGTATAGCCATTTAAAGGACATATAATTACATCTTACCTGACTTAAAGTTGATCGTTTGTGAAATGGTGTGAGTAGTGTTGGAAAAGTTGGGTATTGCCCAGGGGTGGAGAAGCTGTTGCCCTGCAGACGTTGCTGGACTTCCAACTCCATCTGGGATGGCAACTGTCAGGGACAGTAATGGGCGGTGGAAATTTTTCTACTGCTTTGTTTTTCCGTGGGGATTTTTTTCTTTCATAAGTTCTTTAGTAACAATGAATGAATGCCAATTGCAGATTCATTATTAGGCAATCTTGGCAGTTTCAAACTGTTTTAACTTGTTTGCTAAGTACAAGTAAAATAAACATGCTAAATTAGACCACTCTTTATGGCATTAGACATATTCCCAAACCTATGGAAATTACCCAGTAATTTGCATAGGTTTCCAATTCGAATTTTTCCAGAAGACCCACCTCACTAGTCAGGGATGACAGAAACCATAGCCCAACAGTGTCTGCAGGTTCCCAACCTCTGGTATAGGCAAATAATTATGACAAATTCTTTAAAATATTATTTTGCTGTCAAGAAACAAGGAAGTATTCAGATGGTACATGTAGACGGCAAGACATGTCTAAAATGGGAGCAGTGTTCCCTGTGAATCATTCAGATACCTGAATGAAGTAGGTGTCTCAAAACTGACTGCTACTCTTAATCATATGGGAGTTGCAGTTTCTGAATGAGAAATACGACTTTTGGCAGAAGGTATGTCGAGGGCATGTGAAAAGGCTTCCTTAATGAAAGAGCAAAAATGGAAATACCACTGCCTTTATATTACTACATCAGTACAGTACAAAAGGCTTGCATGGGGAAGGCCATAGCTCAGTGGTGGAGCATCTGCTTTGCATGCAGGTCGCAAATTCAGTCCCTAGCATCTCTAGGTAGGGCTGGGAATACCCCTTGCCTGAAACTCTGGAGAGCTACTGCCTGTCAGTGTGGAGAATGCTGACCTAGATAGACCAGTGTTCTTTCCCCCCCTTTTTTCTTTAGATAGACCAGTGTTCTGACTCAGTATAAGGCATCTTCCAATGTTCCTAGATTTTATTGCACTGCTGGTTGGTATGAGTAAGACCTCTTTTGCTGCATTTTAGGGTGCAAAGTGTGTGCTATTTTGTACTGACCTCAGAAGAATTGTTGCTGGCTTCAGGTGAGAGCAAATGCAAAGGTGAAGTGTTGTTGAGTTGTATTTGTTCCTATTCCAAGGCCTACTGGCTTACTGTGCTGCATAACAGGTTTTCACTGATGTGTCTGTCATCATGGGGTTTTCTTGGCTTGGTGACATCAGCCGCATGATGACTGTGTTGGTGTTATGTCCAAAGTTGGCACCTGCTGCTGGTGCAATGCAATATGCTAATTTTACACCTAATTTTGTGGTCTTGGTATTGGGCCTGAAAGAAATACACTTGCTATGGAGCAAGTGTGCTTCATACTTTTACCAAAGTATATAGCTTTGCACTTGTAATCTTTTTCTTTTTTCATCACTTGGGGACATACGACTTGTCATATAAAGTAGAGCCCTGTGGCTTAATAAATACTATATGATTTATTGTGGCATACATTTACAAGGGCTAGAGCTTACTTCATCAGATGCAAGAAGTGCTGCCTTCACCTGAATTATGAGTGCATACATACATCTGTTTGCATATCTATATTTGTATCTTTAATTTACTTGCTGATGTTAATGTATTGGATGAAGTGAACACATACCCCCAAAAGCTTGTGCCTCATAAAAACTGGTAGTTTCTAAGGTGCCATGGGACTCCTTCCTGTGTTTGTTGTAACTAACCTTGCTACCCTTCTGGAATGTATAACACAAGAAAGCTTAAAAAAGAAGAAGAAGAAGGTAAAATAATTATAGAACCAGACAGCCCATGCTCACAAAGTCTTTGAATGGTGAAGGGATACGAGCATCTCAACTGCATCAGTCCCTGTCATCCAGCCATTCATAGCATCCTTAAAAATAAGAGTGAGCCAGTTTCTTTGACCACATGTGGTGCTTTGATTCATCAGGGTTACTGCATTTAACTGTTGTTGTTCCATTCCCCTCTACTTGCGGTTGAATGCCGTCGCTACACACCTGTGCCATCCCATTGTGTGTTTCCAATGAATTGCCCCTTTAGAACCACTATTCAGTGGAATATCAATGTTCCCATTGCCTTTTTGCCTAGTACTATAATTGACTATTGTAATTTTAAGCAACTTGTCAATAGA